ACTAAAGATGAGAATATAGAAGTGATATTGCTGTCAGAATATACAGGTGTATATATATGATTACCATCCCAGTGGCAATATCTAGTAGTCAGAGGGACTTCAACTATGTAACTTTTTTCAGGCTCACAAAGAGAAATAATAACTGGCATCACAATGACTGGCTACAGGGCAAAAGAATTATCTGATAATTAGAGGTACCAGAATCAGGGGACTGACCCCACTCCAGGGCTGGCTGCCAAAGGGAGTGGCCAGAGTCCAAGTCCTCATATTCCAGGGAGCATGTCATTTCACAGGGTGTTTCTTAACAAGATCAGATTTTAAAAGAGGATGTATTAAAGAATAGCACAAGGACTGATACTTTCTTGGAGGTTTAGATAATTTTTGCTTTTAAAAAGAATATCAAGAAATTTTCAGAATTTTTTTCCCCTGTTTTTCAAGTAATGCTTGCCACAAGAGAGTGAACAAGAAAGGATGAAAGCCACTTCTTGGGTGCTGATGCTATCAAACAACAAAAAGGGGGGGGGGCAAGACTGCTCTACTTTTGTCTCCTCTCTCAAAGAAAATAATTTTTCATTAAAATTAACTTACTTTAGTGACTAAAAGGCTACTGAAATCCAGTGTGGTAAATGAGCAACCATTTTAAGTGAGTTAAACTTTCTAGGCCTAAAGGAATTATCCATGAAAGAATCGCTTAAGTGATTGTAGAATCAATACTAGTCAGCTTTGGGAAGCCAGAGAAAAATAGGAAAGGCCAAAAGATTAAGGAGGGGCAAATATTGTCCTAATTTTCAAAAAGCATAAGAAGCAAGAGAGCTTGAAGATTACTGGTAAATTTACAAGGTCTAGGATGAATTTTTTTTTTTAAATAATCTCTACACTCATTGTGGGGCTCAAACTTACAACCCTGAGATCAAGAGTCTGAGGATCTACCGACTGAGCCAACCAGGTGCCCCTCAAATGAATTTTTAAACAAATGTTTTAATGATAGGGAAAGAGATTGAGCACATGAATGACAATTTCAGTTTTTTGTGTGTGTTTCCATCTATCTCTGTCAAGTTCTTCGTGGAAAAAAGGATTTAATGCAGATTTTTCAAATGAAGAAACTTAAATAAAGGTACTTATTCCCAACTGTAAACCTTTGCCAGTCTAGTGTGATTACCAGACTGGCAGTGTCAGCATCACCTGGGAGCCAGATGGAACTCGAGACTCTCAGGCCCCAGCCCGACCTAGTGAATTAGAATCTACATTTACACAGGATCCCTAAGTGATTCATAGGTACTAAAATTTGAGAAGCACTGAAGAAGTTAGAGGGACAAATAAGAGATGGCAAGGCGCCCCAAAACTCCTAACATTAAGAAGCCATTACAACTCCTAGGGCTAAAGGAACAAAGTACAATGTCTTCCTTGCTTGCTCTCCTGTTCCACCTCCTTGGTGAAGCCTTTCCTGTTCTGCTGACAGGCAGAGTGAATAGGTCATTTTGCTATACTTTAAAATCCCATAATTCATATATCTTTTTGTAGGATTGTCTTCTCTATCAGAGTTGTTTAAACATGTGTCTCTCAGCAGACTGTGCACACTGGTTTAGTCAGAGAGCACCTCCATTTAAAAATTTTTAGTTTCTTAATCTCAGGAAACAAACAGGGTTGCTGGAGTGGTAGGGGGTGGGAGGGATGGGGTGGCTGGGTGATAGACACTGGGGAGGGTATGTGCTATGGTGAGCGCTGTGAATTGTGTAAGACTGATGAATCACAGACCTGTAACTCTGAAACAAATAATACATTATATGTTAAAAAAAATAGAAGAAACTAGTAGGAAGGAAAAAATGAAGGGGGGGAAATCAGAGAGGGAGACGAACCATGAGAGACTATGGACTCTGAGAAACAAACTGAGGGTTCTAGAGGGGAGGGGGGTGGGGGGGTGGGTTAGCCTGGTGGTGGGTATTAAGGAGGGCACGTATTGAATGGAGCACCGGTTGTTACGTGCAAACAATGAATCACTACATCAAAAACTAATGATGTAATGTATGGTGATTAACATGATAAAATAAAATTAAAAAAAATAAATCTAGAAACCCAAAATAAAAAAACAATTTTTTTTTAATTTCTACCACAGTGCTGGGCACGGAGGTAGTCTAAAAAGGTAATCTAGGGGCGCCTGGGGGGCTCAGTCGTTAAGCGTCTGCCTTCGGCTCAGGTCATGATCCCAGGGTCCTGGGATAGAGCCCCTGCATCAGGCTCCCTGCTCCGCGGGAAGCCTGCTTCTCCCTCTCCCACTCCCCCTGCTTGTGTTCCCTCTCTACCTGTGTCTCTCTCTGTCAAATAAATAAAATCTTAAAAAAAAAATAAAAAGGTAATCTAATCCCTTACCAACTCTATTAGGGAGGAACTATCATTAAACAGATTTTAAGATGAGAAAATTAAAGTGCTGAAAGGTTAGTACCTTGCCCAAGGTCATATAGTTATGAAGTGGTAATGCCAGGATTTTTTTTTTTTTTTTTTAAGATTTTATGTATTTGACACACAGAGATAGCACAAGCAGGGGGAGGAGCATAGGGAAAGGGAGAAGCAGGCTCCCCACTGAGCAAGGAGCTGGATGGGGGATAAGGGGCTCAATCCCAGGCAGCGGGGATCATGACCTGATCCGAAGGCAGATGCTTAACCCACTGAGCCACCCAGGCATCCCTAAAGCCAGGATTTTTGAACCTAGGTAGTCTGGTTGTAGAATGATATTTAAATAACTTCGTAATGAGAAATGACATTCTGAACTAGTCTTCCTTGGCCAAAAGTAAATTGTATTTTTATTAAATATATTTATGCCTACCTGCCAAAATAAACAAATAAAAACGAGGAGGGAATTTAAGGCATCGCTACTTGTCAGTGAAAAAATTCAGGCCAAAGTGCGGTAAATTTTGATGATTTTGTCCTAAAAGGGTTTCCTCAAACAGATGAGATGTTGGAATAAGTGACTTTAGGCTTTTGTGATGAGGGTAAACTAACCTACTCAAAAAGCAGGGAGTTCATATTCTTCTAATCTAATCAGAGGTTTTCAACAAAAACATTTACGAACCAAGGACTTAAATAAAAATAAAATTATTAAATCCTGCCATCGGGTTTGGTCAAAAGAACACAAAATGGAGAGCTGGTCTCCCATTGCCCTTTCATCCGGTTGGCAACGTGAGGAGCGATGTTTTCACAGGGTTTACATGAGACCTCCTGTCCCTGGGCAGTGCTGCGGTCTAACCCTTCCTAAGAGAGCAGGAACAAAATGGTCATATAGAGAGCAGCAGATCAAAGTATATCTCTCTTCCCCTTCCCTTTGCCTACCACCCATCCACATGGAAATCTTAATTCAACAGTGTCTAGTGTAGTCTTGACATAAATGTTGGTCCCCGTCTTCAAATCTGAAGTCCAGCGGGGGCAGATACTGGTCGAAACTGATGAGGTTCGCGCTCTGCAAGGCCGGGCCCGCCCACACACCGAACAGGTCCCCATTCAGAGACCCGCATCTTTCTTTCACGAGAGTACTTCCCCGGATTCTCACCCGGAGCCCCTCAACCCTTCCGCCGGCGACCCAGCGTCTGCTTCGCAGCAGCCGGACCCTCGCCCGGAGCCCACTCAGCCTTAGCCAAAGGCGGCGCGTTCGGATCCTGCGGCCCACTGGGGACAGAGAGGCAGACGCAAGGCCGGGAGAAACCTGGGCGCTCGGTCTTGGGTCAGACTCTAAGGCGCCTCAATCTCAAGAGGCGGTTTGTCTTTCACCTAATTCAATAGGCCCAGGTTTTCCCTGAGGGCGTAATCGCGTGGGCTGATCACGGCGCTTCGCCTCTCATTTCCCCGCGCTCCCATCCAACTGGCTCCCCACCCCCGGACCCGCTGCTATCCTCAGTCACCTTGTCCCCGCGGGCCGCTCCTCCCGCTCCACGAGGGGCCGCGGGAATCTGCAGCACCTCCGGCACACCTCGCCACCCAGCACGCGCCAGGACCCTGCCACTCTGCTCGCCACACAGACATGCAGTAACGCCCCAGCATCTGCTGCAAAAGTCCTTCCCCACAGCAGAGGAGATTTCCAGCCCCACGCGCCCGGAGTCGCCCACGCCTGGCGCGGTCGCCGTGCCCCCAGCCGCAATCCCGCCCGCCCGCCTCCGCGTTGGCGGGTCTGTCTCCAGCAGTCAGAGAAGGTCGGCTGAGCCCCCACGTGTGACCAACGAGCTCTCGTTACACCCGGGGAAGGCCTCGGCCCCACGCTCCAGGGCGGCCAACAGCTGCGTTAATTCTCCAGCGGGGGCGTTCTCTTCTTCCTCTCCAGCCGGCAGCGGTCGGATCGTCTGCAGCAGCGACTACTATGGACTCTTCCTCTCCACTGTGATCCCCTACCCCGCAGCACGCTACGGCCACAGCTTCCAGCGGCCTGCCTTTTGGTCTCTCCCTTAGGAAGAGAAGAACTGAGGAGGGGCCACGCTTCCCTGGGGAGGAGGGAGGGTCTGCCCGGCCCCACCTCCGTCGCCCACCGCTCTCCCTGGTGGCCCGCAGCCCTTCCAAACCGGTTCCTCCGGGTGAAGCGTGCCTGCCCTGGGCTAATTTTCCGCGAGATGATGTCCCCGCGGACCTGTCTTGCCCCACTGTCCCTTCAACCTCTCCGCAGCCCCGCCAGCTGTCCGCAACGTGAAGCGCGTGGCGGGACCCGAGGCTGGGACCTCCGCACCCAGGATTTTACTCGGACTCCAGCACGTGATGGAGCGGGGGGTGGAGGCCAGAGTACAGCCTGGGGGAGTCTCGGTGGCACCGGAGAGGGTCGTCTGGGGGCCCACGGCTACTTTCGCGGAGGATGAGCCCGGCGGCCTGGGCCGGCTGACCCCGGCTGGAGGCCCGCGCGTCATACCCCCTCCCACAGCCTCAGCCCCGGCGCGCAGACTCACACCCCTTCTTAGGGAAGCAAATGGTCCCTTCCAGGCGGGTGGCCATGTTGCTCTAATAAAGCGGGAGGGGCGGCGGCGTGGGGGGAGCAGATGCCGCTGGCTGCGAGCGGGACCCGGGTGCTAGCAGAGCGCAGCCGCGAGGGAGGCGCGGGGGAGGCGAGCCGGAGCCGGAGCCGGAGCCGGAGCGGCAGCCAGTGTTGGCTGAGAGCACCCAGGCGCAGCCGGAGTCGGAGCCGCAGCCGCGATGGCCGTGGCCGTGGGGAGACCGTCTGTGAGTGCTGGGGCCTCGCTTCCCTTGCGGGAGGCTCGTCCGGCGCTGGGTGGTCCCCGCTTTCGGGCGGGTGCCGGCGGGGAATACGGGGGCCCGGGCGGGGGCTCCGGAGGGTGGCGGCTGTGGGTGTGTGCCTGAGATTGGGCGCGAGTCTGGAGCTGAGGGGAGGGCTAGGAGACCAGAGGCTGGCTGGTCTACTACGTGATGCAACAGTGTATCGCCTAGTCGCGCCCCGGTTCCGGAGATGTGGGAGAGAAAGGACCCCTTTCCTATTTTCCCTTTAAAGGGATTCTTTTAGCCATGGTGTTTCTCGTCTGCCTGCCTCCCTCTCCGCGCGCACACCTTTCCTCTCGTGACAGTCGAGAACGGCGCCGAGAGCGGGGGTTTCCTCCCGGCTTCCCCTCGCGGAGGGGGCTACCAGGGCATGGGAATTGTTCGCCCGAGCGCGCTGTCACACGGCTGTAGAAGCGGATCAAAAATAAAAGGGTGGGATTTCCATGGTGGCTTCCCCAGTGCATTGTGAGATCTCGGACGCCCCCAGGCACCCACCCGGCTGACCCGGCCCTGCCCAGGATGTGGACAAAAGCCCTAGATACACACACAAAGTTTTCACAAGGCCCCCTTGTCGTGGTGGGTGGAAGTATTAAAATGCTCTGCGGTTGGAAGACCGGGGATGGCGAACCGAGCAGGCGGGGGCGCGAGGAAGAGGAAGGGAGGGCGGGTGCGTGGAGACCCGGGTGCCCCGCGGCTCAGATCGAGGGAAGGATCGAGGCGATGCCCCCGCCCCGAGTTCGCGGGCCGGCCAGGGGCCGCGCCTGCTGGGGTGCGAGACTCAGTTCGCGACTCGGAGCCGGACTTTGAGGGTGCGGTCACAGTCGGTGCTCCGCATCCCCGAAACGCGGGGGGGGGGGGGGTGGGTAAAGGGCGGCGGCGGTTCCTTTTTATTGAAAGGAGCAGAGCCGGTGGGAAAGGCGGAGTCCTCTTTCTCTTTCCCCATTTCTTTGTCGATGTTCAAAGTCCACTTTCTCACCGCTGGTATTGGGGGCGCCTCTAGCGAGGTTTTTCCCGCCCAACCATCCCCTTTTCCTTTTCTCATCTCCTTGCCACAACTGTGTAGCTGCAGGTGGTGGCTTGAGAGGTCTTGTAGTTAGGCATGAAAGTCTTACAGAGATACTGGAGGCTCTGAAGTCACGGGAATGCAAGGCTGTGCCCTGACTCCCAGGTTGTCCTCTAAGTCCTCTCCAGATACTGGCGCCTTTTGCCGCCCCTGCCCCCACCCCGCCCGGGGAGTTCGCGGGGACCCTCTGCTTGTTCTAACGCGGTTTGGTGGCTCCGCTGCCGAGGTGTTTTCAAAGACGTTCTCCACAGTCACAATGTACTGTGGTCATATTGAAGTGTAACTGTGCGTCTTTTAAGCGTTTTCTACCCTCATATTTAATGACATACGCTTAAGAATTCAGGTCTCCTCTTACACACAAGTTGTGGTCTTGATAATTAGTGGTCGTGGATTGTTGTTACAGAGGGAATTTACATAGGCTGTAATCCTATGTAATCCCTTTATTTTGCTGGTGAGGAAATTGAGGTGCAGAAAGGTCAAGTTTATCTGATTAAATTACGCCCACCTCTCTCCTCCGTCCCCACACTATACTCATTAACAAGGCACAGATTCCGATAACTAAAATAACAATATCTACTTTAGATAATTGGAGAGTAGACAATTCGGGTGGGGGGTAGTGTTCAGTAACGCCTATTGCTGGTGCATTCTTGAGGCCTGGGGTAGGTGGAATAAATAATTTGCTGCATATTTTCTATAAATTAGTTAGTTCATATATGTCAGTTAAATGGGAACAGTATGTGGATTTAAGATTTAGCTGTGCGGCCATAATCATATCCAACACCAGGTCTGCCAACCAGATGTGAGCTTAATCCCACAGAATTCTTGTGTAAGACCTCTCTTATTCAAATAATAGAGGAGATTTTTAAAAGTGTATGTGTACAGAGGAGGTAACAGCTTTCTCTGCACATTCCCTGTTGTCACTGGAATTAAGATTAAATTACAGTTAAAAACAGAAGACTTTTTTTTTGGACTGAGTTGTGGTATGAGTGATCAAGAGTTGACTACAGAGTTGAAAAGTCTTTTCATACATTTCCAAGGAATTGTTGAATTGTTTCACTTTGTTCATTCAGCTCTTGTTTTAACTGTGGTGCCTGTAGTTATGTCTTCAAAACAATCCCGGTGAAGGCAGAATATTTCTCCAAACCCAGCTCCAGGGGATCAACACTACATCTTTCATCCTAGAATCCTCTGCCCCTCCTATTCCTTTATCTATTCTCTGATTTGAACAAATGGAAGGGTGTGTTGAGAGAAAGGAATCACTCCAAAATTGATTTGGAGTTTCCCTAGTTACTCATTTAGAATTAGACTTTTTTTTTTTAAGTTGTTTAGGAAAACATGAACAGAGTTCTTTCCCTACAAACTGCCTCTCCCATCCAGATTGAAGGAAAGTTCCATTAGAATAATTTGCTCTCATAATTTTAGGTTTTCTTAAACTTGAACGTTTTAGTGTGACGTCCTAGGTAGATATGAGATTTTAGTGGAGAAAAGTCCTTCTATGTCAGATGCAGTATTTTCTGTTTTATGAAGTGGTTATATTCAGTTATAACCATTTAAACCTTAAGGCTCAATTCAGATGTTTCTTAAGTGGATTTGTTGGCTGGAAAACACAGAGGCTTCAGTTTAGCGTGATACTGTTTATTTCTGTTCTCATCTCAACCCCTGGCTTCTCCATTTTCTTGTGGATGGTCTTGGTGCTTGGCTCTGAGAAGACCCTGAAGCGCATCTGCTGTTCCCAGAGTGTAACTAATGATTAGCAAGAGCATTTCTCCCCTAGGGATGTGTCCACATTTTGAATGAGTTAGTATTTTTGCATCCAAGTCCCAGGGCAGCTATTATTTTTATTTTAAACAGAGCATGGTAATTTGCTCTACCTGGGAATCAGGCTTTATATAGCTGATCACTCTCAAGGTATGATGTTCAAGTTACAGAGTCGAGGAGGTGAAAGGAACTTAGGTTATTTGGTTCAGCCTTTTTCCCAATGTAGAAATATTTCCTACTTTATCCCTAACAGAAGGTATGTATTTAAACTTTTCCAATGGTGAAGAGTTTCCATGATATCCTTCAAGAAACACGTTTAATTGTTCTTTTATCTGTTGAGCCAAAAGAAATGGAAAGCTAAGTTCATTCAGTCTTGTAAAACTATTAATTGAGCACCTCCTGTATGCTAGGTACTGTACTAGGAGCCAGGGTTACAGCAGTGGACAAGAGAGAAAATTCTATTTTTACCTGGAGCTTTTATTTTCTGAGATTCAGTGTCCATGTGTATTAAAGTGATGAGCTTCAGTGGAGTATGTAAGCCATTTAAGGAGAAAGGAAATTATGTGCCTATTGCTGAATCAGCAGTTATGATGCAGGTAAAGATCTTGTCTGGGAATCATAGACAGTTCCTGAAAATATGGTCTGTTTTCAGCAGGAGGGTGGGGACTGACAATGAAATGTTATTTTTCCTTGTTATAAACTTGCCAATTACATCTTGAGGTTGTAGCCCCCTGTGTGGAGGGCTCTGGCTTTTTTCTACCCGGAGAAAGATTAATGGAGCTAAGAAATGTCCAGGGGGTGGCTATCTCAATGATAAAGGGGCTGTCATCTAGGGGGGAGTTTAAAAAAAAAAAAACTAGTAAGAGGTATAAATGATACACATTGAGGCTCTATAAGCAATTATTAAAGAATGAAGGAAGTGTTTGAGGTACAGTAATCTCTCCTTAAATCTTTTGAAAGCTATAGATTTTATCTTTTAAAATATCTTCTTTAAAAATGATGTGTTTACATGACAATGAAAAACACCCACGGAATTGATTAAAAAACAAAACTACCCATTTCCCACCATCCTTATATAAGAGCTCCTAGACCGTTAGTGTATTTTCATCGACTGTGTGAGATTTACACAGGTAAGCATAACCTATCTCGTATAAACTGCAACTTAGAAACCAACTGTGTGCCTGGTAGACCCTGTCTGTTTGGACACTCATATAATGTAGGAACCAGATGCTTAGCGCTTTCAAAGGGGCCACCCTGTTTGTGTCCAGACAAAGGAATGAATGATTTGGTTGTCCTATTTTGATTGATTGCCAGAAGACCTAGTGTTTATATCCACTGATGATGCCACAGCTGATAATGATCTTCGGGTTTCGACTCCGTGTGGGGCAGGCTACAATCAGAGCTTTCTATGCCAGTGTTTCTCTTTATAGGACCTTAGACTTGATTGGAGGTGGGGTGGGTACGGGCCCTTGTTGGATTTTATATAATTTATTGAAAACTGTCTTTCATAATGCTAGTTAGACCTGTCTTAACTGGGGTCAGTGAAGAAGAACCATTATTTAAGCAAAGACCCAGAAGATCTAAAGCTTCTATCCTGTTCCCCAAGGAGACCTACTTTACAATTTAATTGATACCCCGCTTTGTTGTTGTTGCTGTTTTTTAAATCAAGACTGACAGAAGACTCTCTTCAACTAAACAGTACCACCTCTGACCCACTCAGGCCTGCTGGCAGCCCATCAATGCAACCACTGTAAAACATAAAAACAATACCTGGGCTAAGGTGATAGAGACAGGCTTCTAAAAAGAATTTCCTGGGTGATATGAAATCAAATTTGCATCATCATAGGCCTGATCTGAGGTAGAAATCAGGAGTCTGTACCCTTATATGATTGGAACCAAGGCATTAGAACCATCTTTTTTAGGATCTGTGCCAGTGAGTGTGAGTGCCTTGTTCAAGTCAAAGGGTTCAGGAAGCTGACCTGTGTGGATGCATTCTCTCCCCCTGCTGAACTATGACCGTGTGGGATTGAGTGTGATGTGTTGATGGAGGGGGCAGGCTGAGGTGAAGAGGTTGAAAAGGCTTCATGCTCCAAAAAGAATGTCTTTGGTACCTGACAAGAAGAAG